GTATTTAAGTGAAATGGGGGGGGAAGGAAGAGGGGAATAAGAGGTGAAGCAAGCTTCTCCAGTGCCCTGGGCAGAGGAAGGGAGAATATTGTGACAGCAGGGTGGGGCCAGAGTCTTGCCTGCCCCAGCCAGGGCTCTGCCCTCAATGCAGACTGCTGCAAGTAGGCTGCTGCTCCACTGGGACACAGGCTACCCACATGCCAGTCACATCAAAAGTTCCCTGAGGTATGCCAGGCTGGCACCTCCCTAAATCAGTGCTCAAGGCTAGTGCCCTACTTACTGCCCTCTGCTATAGCTATCAGCTAAACACCATTATTGTATTTCCTTAAGATGCACACTCCAATTTTCAGCAGCTAAATTCTGGAAAAAGGTGTGTAATGTATACAAAAAATACAGCACTAGGAAATGCAGTGTATATTTCCTGCTGTTACTAGTGCAATTTACAGACAACTAGGAGTAGAAACCTCTAAATCAAGGGTAGGCAAAATACAGCCTGCAGGCTGGATTCAGGCTGTAGAGGGGCTTTGTGCAGCCTGCGGTGGGTCCCTCACTCCTGCCTGGCCCAGGCATCATCCCATGGTGGCGTGCCCAGCTGCCCACTGGGCACACAGCAAGGCTGGGGCAGCTCCGCACTGGACTGCCTTTCTAGGCAGCCCAGGTGACAGCAGCTGCTGGCCGTAGCCCATGGTACTGGTGGGGACCCACATGCAGCCCCTCCCCCTCAGTGCTACCCAGCACTTCCTGTAGCAACCGCGTGGAGCTCTCCAGGCAGCTCGGAGATGGTGGTGACAGCACAGAGCAGCCCAGCGTGGGCACCGCATGGCTCCTGCAGGAAACACTGGCCCTGAATGGATGGGGATGAATGAGGGTGCTTGAGAGACAATGGCAGTATGTCTAAAAATAGCTCCCTCTGAATGACTGAACCATCAACTTGATGACCCAACCATCACCCTGCATTGACCCTCCCTGGCTCAAGATTTGGAAGACAAAGACTGCTGCAGAAATCAGTCAACCCACCATTACAGACACCTGAAACTGCAGGTCCTTACCTAGGAGTGCATATGCTCAGTACACCAGGGGCTGACTCTTGCCTGGGCATGCCCCTGCCACTAGGGTCATAGGAGGTCTGCCCCTATAAAAGAGGGCAGTGAAGACAGATGCAGTGGGACACCCTCTCCATCTGGACCAGCACCACACCACACTACCTATCCACCCAGAGGCCCTGCCGGCAACCCCACTCTGGACAACACCTTGCTAGAGAAGACCAACTAGCCATCAAGGATCAACTTGCAGCCCAGGATAGGTAGCTATCACTCACTTCCTTCCCCAAGCAAAGGACATGGACTGTTTCTCTTCCCTACCAGGACTCCAGCCCTTCCACTGAGTCTCTTTCTCCTGCTACCATTGAGTGCCTGTGAGTGTGTGTGAACGTGCATGTATCTAATTGATTTTTGAGTGCGTGCATGTGCAATTGTGTCTCACCCTCCCATCTAACAGCGCAATTTTGAGATCCTGAGACTTGGCCTGACCCCACAGGACAACAGGAGTACTTCTGCAGCAAGGGCAGGGACTTCCGATGACAAAAAGTCAGGGGCTAGGGGGTGGGATGTCTGGGACCAAGATGGCAACTAGAGGATGGGGCACTTGTTAAGGGGAGGGACTAGCCTTGCAGCCCTCAACAGCACACCAAAAAACTTGTGAAGTGGCCTATCACCTGAAAAAATGGCCTGCCCCTGCTCTAAAAGTTTCAAAAATAACAACCTTTTCCTCTGTTATTTAAAAGCAGCCTACAAACCTTACAGCAATACATCAAACAACAGCAGTACAGTGACCACAAGTAGGAAGTTCAGAATAGCGGATATTTATTTTAAATGTTAATTATGAACAATGTACTTTAAACTGGGTAGGAAATACTTATAATACAAAATTTAAAATACTGGTCTTAAAAAATATGAGAGAGAGAGAGAGAGAGAGAGAGAGAGAGTGTGAAGGTTTCTTTAAAAAGTTCATGATTTTCTAGCTTTTCAAGTTGTGAAAAGAACAGAGCATTATGTTTTTTCAGTCAAGCTGTTTACCTAATTGAAAATTGTAAAAATAAAAAAATCTAAACAGAATCTCTTAAAGTATTTAACATTGCATTAATTCATTTTAAGTACTGAATAAAATTAAGTTGTGACTGTTTCAGAAGTTTTGCTCATAACCAGAAGATACTTGTAAGACAACATATACATTACTCTTTAGAATTAATATCCCATTAAAATTATCATTCTAAACCAAGCAGTAAATGCTGATCATCTCATGCAGTTGCTATGGTATCAAGGCTTGCCACATTGCTTCAGTTTGCTGTTCTGCTACAGGAGTTCTAGAGTAGTCAAGACAATTTGCATTCCACATGCCAATGCCTCTTAAACCACGTTCCTGTGCATATGCTGCTTTCAGGGAAATGCTCCAGGGGTCATCATACCATACTTGGTGAAAATGACCAAGAGCATCCTATAAAAATGTCCAGAATGTGTGTGTTAGTATAAATAAAAACTACATTAACAGGACTATATTAATGAATACAAAATGCCTAAAAAGTTAGGTATAACTCACGATATGCAAATGTGAATATATGCAACAATGTTCTTCCAAATTTACTTTTAAAAAGTATTCATGTAAAATTTCTTCTCCAGTCTGCAATAAACATTTTGCAAGAAAGCCTTCCTATTTGCATTACTTTAAAGTAACTACCCAGTCTTCTTTCTTCTATAAAACATGATCCAGTAAATAATCCTGCTTTCCTTCTATTCTTTTTCCCTGATCTCCCAGACAAAGCATTCATTTTGTGCAACTCTTTTATAAGAGAGATTGGTTTCATAAAAAAAGACTAAATTTTAATTTGTTTAAAATGATTTAAATCAATTTAAGGTTTGTACTAAGATTCCAAGTATACCAGCACATGAAACTTGTCATAGACTTGTTTTTTTTCTAGCACAAAATGCAGGTTTAGAGAAGATTATGAAGCTCTCCTAAATAAGGTTATATTACTTTGGGCCAGTGATCACTTTTAAGATCGTATTAGTTATCAACAGATGAAGGTTATATAGAAAATAGAGTGTGTCACTAACTGAATAGGAAGTTACAGTGAGTGCAAGCAGAAGACTCCAGGGGTTCCAACAACCACTGCTTCCAAGTGAATTCTGGATGCAGTGGAGAAGAGAAAACAGTGCTGGCTGCAACTCCTAATCAACGAATCAAAATCAGCACCAGGTGAAAGTTAAGAGCAGTTCCAACATAGGCACTGGCAGTTTGTTTTTTTTAATAGGCCCTTGCAGTAGTGGAAGATAAGAATAGTGGACTTCTGTTCTATTAAATCTCTCCCCACGGCATGACAGACCATCTCACTCTCAAGGAGACAGCACACTGATATAGAAACCAGCTTCACCATGTCTGGCACCCTTTTGTCAAGGAAGGGTTTCCCTGCAGATACTAACCTGGAATCCATCCACTATTCACCATGTGGGCAAAATGAATCGGACCATATTTGCCTAGAGTATATGAATGCTCGTCTGTAAAACAGCTTACCTTGTATTCATAATATGGAGCTTTCTGCTCCTCATCCCACAGCCTCCCAGAAACTGAACTATTCACTTGCTTCATCACCACTTTATACGAGACCTGAAACCTTGCAGAATCACTGCATAGATCCCCATGGAAAGGAATTTTTGAAAGAAAACAAATGTGATCCTGAAAAGAAAAAAGAGCTGTTTCATAGTACTCAACTTTATATAACTCTGGAAGAAAATGAGAAAAAGGCACCTGTGAAAACCACCTGAAATACGTATTTGGATATGAATTAATACCTTTTTTTTTTTTTTTTTTAAAGCTAGAGAAAGACATCCATATAATTATTATTTAGCTGGAATGAACAAGTTCCAGCTTCTCAGATTGTTTTAATGTGGGAAGCAATATCATTGTTAGTGACTTAATATGACAGGATTAATAAAAAAACCTATTTTATCTGCAGCCCCATTGGTAATGCAGAGAAGCAAATCTCAGCAGGAGAGACCGGGACTGGAACTTGCCTCCCTCACCTGGCTTTCACATTCAAACCCACATGCACAGTACATGGAGGCTAGACCAGGTATTCAGTTGGCACATCCAAATACTTAACCACTGGCTCCCAAAGCGCTTGCCCATTGCTCAGCCAGAGCTGAGCCTGACAAAGACCACACACAGAGGGAGACAGGACCCCAAGGAGTCATGGGGCAGTGGGAGGTGCCAGGTAGGAAGATGATGTTGCTCTGGTTCTGAGGACTGAAGGCCAGTTGAGCCAGACCGGCTTCCCTTGCAGTGGAAATAAAAGATTAAGGATGGAAACTTCCAGGGGACTCAGTTCAACTGAAAGAGAGAGCTGTTGAACTCCCTGCAATTAGTCCCAGCCATTCATATTGACCTCTTGACCCAGTGCTACTAAGACAGTCAGGAAGTGCATGTGTATGTGAGGGGCTGGTGAGTGGAGAGAATATCCTAATTTCAGTCTATAGATTTCTAGTGTTTTCAAGATTGTTTGGGGTCATGTTTTTGAAAGCCGATTCCTTTGCCTGATAACTTCTGTTTTTATTTCTAAGTGTTACATATATATTGGTGCACAATTTATTCTAAACTCTGAACTGCAATATCTACAGGTCAGGGTTAACGATTTATGTACCCAGCCTTTCAGTGGAAGTCCCAGGAACCCCGACGAAGAATGCGGGCCCAAATGCTTTTGCAGAATGCGGGCCGCCACAGATGACAGGCACCATCCCAACATATGGGTTCAGGGCCCAATCTGATGCAGGTGGGGCTGAAGAAGCAGATCTGATGTGGTGTGCTTGATCAGGCCCAGACCAATCCCACACACTGGATCTAGTACACATCATGCACAGAATCTACCTACCACCAGGCGCTGGGTGGAATCTACCTAGCACCAATCTACCTAGAACCCACAGCACTGGGAAGGTTGGGCACCACTAATTTAAAGCATTTTATAACAATGCCTAAATCCCATAATCTTAAATGTTAATATGTAGAAACATGAGGGACAGAAGTAAAAGATCTTCTCTAACATTACACTGTCAATCAGCTTCAGAAACAACAAGTCCAATATCCAAAATATAAGTGTTGTGCCTGTACCACCAGATGACACTGCTTTTGTCTTTCTTTACTGTAAAAATAACTGCCAAAAATTACGTAGTATATTACAGGAGTAAAAATGATTTTAAAAAGGTTAAAAATGCCTTTATCTTACCTTAGATAAATTCAGACAAGTATAGTCATAACCGTACCAGGGAACACCCATCACAAGCTTCTTAGGATCAATGCCCATGTTAATGTAGTCTTCATATCCTAAATTAACAGAGAATATAAATGACATACCTGGCTTTCATGTTAACATATTGACAGGCTTTCAAGTTTGCCAACACTAACTTTTTCAACATTACTGAAGTACAATGATGATGAAAGATATTTAAAAAAAAAAACAACACACACACACACGACCTACACCTGTAATATTTGTATAGGACAGTTTCAATAGGGATGTTCCTGCCTCAGGCAGGTGCTTGGACTGAATAAACTGTGGAGGTCCCTTCCAGTCCTACTTCTCTATGATTCTTTTGCCGTTTAATATTCCATATGAATTCTCAATACAAGAAATAACTTAGAAGTACTACAATAGTAAACATCCAAAGTGAAGGTCTATGTTGGGTCGTCTTAAATTGAATATGTTAAGGAATGATTACAAAGTGACAGATCAAAAATAAATCAATATATACAGCATTAAGACAAAAAATAAGTGAGAAATGCCAAAAAAAATAATAATGCTAACAAGAAGTAATGAACAAATATTCTGTATTACTACTTTTGAATATATCGTTTCCACTCAGACTTGGCCTGTCTAGCCCATAAAGAACTCAGTAATAAATACTCAGATGCTAGGCCATCAACTTCAGGAATCCAATACAGTCACCATCTCTTATCTGGTGCACCTCAAGAGTTCCTGGTCTCAGGATAATCCCCGATAGAGGCATGTCCATATTACAAAGTGCTATCACTGACTTTTGCTGACAGTCCAGCAAAACAAACAATAGCTGAATGCAACTCTCCCTATGCACAGCCAGTCACACCGGTTTGAGATTAAGGCATACTGGCTGAACAGCAGCTATGGAAGCCTGAACCTAAGTTATACTCTACCAGTGCCAAATTCTGCCTTTTATACTACCACGCGTAGGGGGTGCATGTGCACCCCCTACGAAAAGGCACTGCCGACACTGCCGGGGCATGTGTTGTTCATGGGGAAGACCTGAATTTGAAGCATCCAAGTCACAGATCTCAAATAAATACAGCCTCCCCAGGACTTCCCTTCCCACCTAAGGTGGGAACAAACTGTTATATTCCTTGGCTGGAAGCCAGCTGCTCCCCACTTCAGGCAGGGTATTAAGAAACAAAAAATGCCAAGCAGTTTTACTTGGTGACATTCAGTTCATTTGCAATGTGCTCTATTCCTCCCCTCTGACTCTTTTTCTGGGAGACCGGACGGTCCTGAAGGAGGCGATAGTGACAGTATTCTCTCAAGCACTACTATGAATAGTAATAACTGAGAGGCCACTCCCAGCAAACTACATAGATCTTCAAAATATAAGCTTCCCTCTCCTTTCCTATTGTTTCCCCCCTCCCTCAGAAAACAATTCAGACATTTTGAACTGCCATCTCATAGCATCCAGATCACCACAGAGAGGTACTACACACCTTTCAGAGGTAAGTACTTAATGCTCTTTACAAAGAAAAGGATGACACCTCTACTGCACCATGTTTTGCTTACATTCTGAAAGTTTTCACCATAATAAAGACTAAAGGATTACATGTAGAAAAAAAAAAAAATGTCTCACTATGCCATGCATACACTGTTCATCCACAGTGTCGTAAAGCTCAAAGGAACCTATATGCTCAGGAGGTTTTACCAGTATCAGAGGCTTTGGGAAAAAAAACCAAAACAAAAAACCCCCACAACAATGCATTAAAAAAAAAGTAGAGGTGGGGGGAAGTGTCCCCATCTAATAAGCCATTCTATTTAAAAAAGTATATGCTGGCTGCTGCTATTTTTGATAGATCCTCACCAGTCAGGGTCTGATTATAGGGAGCATTGGCTCTTGCAGCACGGCGTGGCCAGACTGGACTGTCTTCATCATATGACATCACAAACATGAAATCACAAGCATCTGCAATGCCGCTGTAGTTATAGCACCTCTGGTCAATGCATTCGGGAGACCAAGCCACATCAAATGTTACCTGAGGAAGAAGAGCAGAAGTTTATATTACCTATGGAATTGATGCACTCTATTGTTTTTGTCACAACCCAATGATTTTAGTGCCTCGGCACGATGGAATTTTCCCGCCACACGAGAGTCTCTTGCACAGCAAAAGTTTTCTGCTGCAACAGAAAACCCCGGTGCAAGAGAGCTCCCGCCATTCGCATGCAAGTTTGTCCCCCGCTATTGGCCAGTTCTAAATTATTACTAAGTGGCGGCTAGTAATTGGCTTGGTTGGCCGTATAAAATTTTGTGCGACTTCCGCCCAAGTCGGAGAACTTTGAGCACGCTGCAGAGTGCCTCTAAAGAAATCTGACTTGCGGCTGAGCCGATCGATAGCCTGATCACCTATCGATTCTTCTCCCCATCGCTGAGCGCAATCCTTCAACATACCCTTTCCCTGCCGGCTTAATTTGTGGACGGATTAGCTGGCCTGAGCCTTGCCAGCTGGAGCAACTCGTGGAGTTGTTTAAGCGACCGGACCACCTGCGTCGCGGCTACTAGCGGCGTAAGTAAAGTTTTTGCAACCAATACGCTTTGTCTGCCTCTCCATTCACCAGCCTGCCCAAACGACCGAGCAATTTGTATATCACCTCGAGTCGGCTCCGGCCGTCCGAGACAGTTTTGATGCTTGTTTTCAGAACAAGTCTGCCTATAGAAGTATTCATTTAATATGCGTAAAATAGGAGAATTAAACTTGCTCTCTCTTTTCACATTTACTTGTAAAGTTTTAGACAGCTATACTTTAAAATCACTAAAGAGATCGAACATTACATCTCACGAACTATAACAGGACTGTATCCAACCCACACATGCAGCCCACAGACTCCTGTCCTACCAACACTCTCCCCATTGCTTTGCCTGTTCAGGTGCGTGGCGGCCAGGGTCCTTGGGGCAAAACAGTACAGGAGGCAGCCACGTGAGTTTGCTGGCAGTGCCAGCATAGGGGGGCTCCCATGGTGTGGGGGAAACTTATCTGTGCAACTGTAATGGTGGTGGTGGGGTGATCAACAGCACCGTGGCAGACGTGGGCAACTGCATGTGGCAGGGGTCCCGAGGAACCCATGTGTCCCCTCAGGCATGCAGACCTTGCAGTGTGTGGCCCAGGGCCTGCAACCAATGTGGTGGGTGGCGTCTGGCTGCTCCGAGATTAGATTATTATAGTTTAGGGCTGTCCATTTAAAGATATGAAAACGTTCGTGAATCTCTCCAACATTATACCGCTAATTTCTAAAGATTTATATTTTTTTCTGATATCATATGTATATTGTTAAGAAGTTTCATTAATCCATATCACTACCACATTATTATGGTGAATGGCAAGTGATTTATGAATGGCAGCCGACATACCAGAGTGTAGCCTCCGAGATTGGATAGCCCTAAACTATAATAATCTTTTAAAAAAAAAGATAGGAATCATTTTGTGAATATCTCCAAGATTACTTCATGGTATAGATCATATGATACCAGAATAAATGATAAATCTTTAGTAATTAGCAGTGTAGTTTCATTAATCCATACCAATACCACCAATAGGAAAGTGATTCATGAATGGCAGCCAACATACCAAAGAGGGCTATAACATAAATATCGTAAATCTCAGCAAAACAATGGTTCTGTTTTTATAACTAAGTTTCATAGCAGGAGAAGTTCAGTGATCCTTATGACAAAAATAGATATAGTCAACTAGCAAAATGAACAAAGCACAAATGTGGAAAACTAGGACTACAACAGAGGTTTGCAGAAGACTTTAAATACGTAGTCTATAGTAAATGAGGATTTCACAACATTAAAACAAGTTTATACAGAACACATCTTATACCTGTGATCCTGGAATTGCACTGTGAAAAGCATCTGCAGTTTCTTTCACTAGATCTGTTAATGCATCATACTCGGGTGATGACCTACTAACCGCTTCCTCTATGTCCATATTAATTCCATCCATATACTGCTTTTTCGCCAGTTCCACCTGTTGAGTTATCCATAACCCTCTCGCAGCAGGCTCAAGCATGTCCTTCAGGGGTACAACTCCTAAACAGGACAACTTTGTAAATTATCACTTTAAATCATGGTGCCAGAAACAGGGTCTTTATCCTTAGTGTCTACTTTGAATCATAGAAAGATGAGGGTGGGAAGGGACACCACGAGGTCGCATCTAGCCCAATCCCGGCTCAAAGCAGGACCGGCCCCAACTACATCCTCCCCAGCCCAGCGACGCCCAGCCGGGTTTTGACAGCCCCAAGCATGGCGCTTCCCCACCCAGCTTTGCTGCCCCCGCTGCGACCCACCTTTCAGCACTACCCTGGCCCCCTTGGCATGAGCGTAACACATGAGCTCGGGGTCGTAGTCTCCGAAGGTCGCCACCGTTGTGATGTGGGTCCAGTTGTAGAAGCGCCACGTCCCGCCGCCGACATCGAACACGAAGACCTGGGAGCGGGGCGAAAACGCACGAGGCTCCACTCGCAGCACTCGCACGCAGCCGCGCGGCTCCTCCACGCCAGCGGCGCCAAGCCCGCGGGCCCCGC